GTCTAACGAAAGCTCGTTCTCCGCGTTTGCCGAGCAATTTTTCATCCTTAATTCCTACCCCTCCCATAAATCGTTGCTTCGACTCCTTAACTCCTGCGTGGCCAATCGCCTATCGTTTCTGCATTTCCCCTTCCAATTTTTTGCCAATGTATCGTTCCAGTTTCGCGTCGATCCAGGATAAAAATTTATGCAACGAGCCCCTCGTGGCAATACGTTCGAATTCTCGCGTCGTTTCTCTTACAGAGAGTAAACTCTATTCGTTGCACGCGTAAGGTGCAGGACTTGCACGAATCTCCCGCAGTCACCGTGAACCGTGTACGCGAATCACTTACACGTTAGAAGCGACGCTTTTTATAAACGACCTTTTTCCCCCTAGCTATACGGTACACGAAGGTCGTGGCAGGCATAGTCCACCGTTGGAAAAAATATTCGCCGTGAAACGAGGCGGGCGTACATTCGTCACGCGAGTCGCGTGCGGCTGCACGAGACATCGGTTCATTAGAAGATTTTGCTCGTGCCAGGACTTAACCTTATATCTCTAATAAACCAACCGTTCCCTTATACGCCCACTAACGAAGGGTGAAATTTTCCTCGATTTTCTCCCACCTTTTGAGCTGCCACTTTGCTATCGCGCACGAACCACGGTGGCCAAATTGTGGCTCCTTTTGAACGCTGCAGCGGTTTTCCTACGCTTCTGACTTATCACAATTTCCGTTTCACGACGAGTACCAGGTAGATTAATTCCGTGATCCACCGTTTACGCATTGGACGATCTTCAACGAAAGCAGTACGCTGCAGCGTAGTTTAATTTATCAGGTAAAAGCGGAACAGAAGGACAAGAGATATAAAGCGCTCGAAAACTTGTACATGCAAATGCACTGGAATCCCTTGCTATCTCTAGCTTTCTCTCTTTTTTATTTTTACTTTTTGTCGATAGAATCTTTTCGCGCGAACAGAATCGGAATTAGGTTCGGGTACAACCGCGCGGACCTGTCACCCTTCCCTTTTCTCTTCTTTGCTCTCTTCTAAATAGCGAATACGTGCGTCCGATACGGTCGTGTTATCATTTCTCGACAACTATTACACGACTCGGAGACCCTTCGTGCAACCACTTCGAAATTCAGCAGAAAGAGCAAAGAACTTCGCCCCTGGGCTATTTACCCTGGATCTGGGCCTCGATAGGTTTGTTCGCTCGAAACGGTATATCGCGCTTAATTCCTTGAAGTGCCTTAATCTATCTAGTAACTTGAAAGATGATTTAACAAATTGTCTCAAAAATAGAGTCTAATTGAACGAGTTAGCCTCTTAAAAATTTGTAACCATAATAAAACGTAATGATACTTAATAACGCCTTTAATTAAAACTTGAACCCGTTCTTCGTTTACTACGAAATATTTTACGCGGACACTGATAGATCTCGTTGCTTACGTAGCTGGATGTTGTTATCCATAAAAGGCATTTCCTTAATCCTATTAAGCGACAAAAATGGATGACTCGCGCAACGTCTAGGCAACGTATTAAATTTGTACAGGAACGTTGTTTCGAATCAGAAAGAAATGATCGAGATCTCGTGTGATTTCTTTCGATTAGTTCGTGGGATACGTAGCTCTCGAAAGGGACAAAAATTCGTCGCTCTCTTTGTACGCGTCTGAACGAGCCCTCGAGAATGACGTTTGTCGTTTCTAAGCCTAGCTTAGCAACGTTTCGAGACGACGGGACGAGGATCATCCCCGGACAAGATAGTTTCTCCGAGGGTGTCGGGGGGTAAAAAAAACCTTGTTTCGGTAGCGTCGCGTGTTTTCCTTTCGTCCCGCGTTGATCTTTCGATTTACGTGTTCGGGTAGCTCGACGTGGATCAAGAACGGATTCAATTAAGCGAACGTGTCCCCTTTGAACCTCGATCTCGTCGATCCGAACGTCGACGACGCTCCCTCGCTTTCTCCTCTTTCGTCGAGAGGAAACGCGATATTACTTCGGGCAATCGAGTAATCGGCCAACTTGTCCGAATGGATTGTTCTACAAGGAAACTTTTTGCTTGCCGCGCGATTCGGTCTCGCCGTAACGAAAGCGTCGAGTTAATTCGTTCGAGGTAACTTTGCTCTTTCGTTGTACACGAAGAGCTGTGGATCCGATAATAAAAATAAGGGTGGATGAGGGAGCAGCGTAATCGACTTACGTATCGGAATATCTGGGATGTAACGTTCCAGCATGTATCGCGAGGCTACGCGATTAAAAGTATATCAAAGTAAGGAGCGGTTGAAATTCAGATAACGTTTTCCTGCTGTCCACTCGGAATTTAATTAATGGTTTCCCTTTGAAACGTTATTAACAACTCGTTTGAATCTCGCAACGTTCGCACAGCTTTGAAGAGCGCAACTTCGAGAGCTGTCTCGCGACGGACGAGCGTATAGGTCAAGTAAGTGTATTCGTCGTCGAGATAAGGGTAGCGGGCTGAGGATAAGAGAAACCGGTGGGATATGAAATTTCGCGATAGCGCACACGCTGGAGAAGTTCGGTGCAGAGACTGCACATTCATCACGGCCAACCGAAGTCCGTGTTGTCGTAACAGCTGGCCAAGAACCGGCGATTAACGGCTGTTAAGGGAACCGTTACGGCCAACGGGGGAGATATCTACGAGGCTCGATTATACCGAGTGCCAATTGAAAGATTGCGGCTGATTGGCCGGTTGTCCCGCGCTAAACGGAAGTCGTTCAGTGTCAATGGCCAGTCATCGGTTTGTCGTCGAGTGCTTTTTCAGCTCGCGACACAGCTTCCGTTTCCGTTGATTTAGGTAAACGCCACCGACACGTAGCTGCTTCGAGTTAATCAAATTTTTCTTCCTTCGCGTTTGATCGATGCTTCAAACGCGTATTTCAACTCGTCGAATCGTCCGCGATTCGAATCGATATACGAGTCGAGCGAATCTGTCTATCGCCAACAAGAGAGCACGGACAAATTTCATCTCGCGATCCTCTCAAAAATCGTGGACGAAATCTTGCAGGATTATACGAGTTGTGAAGCATGTACGAAACGTCGGCAATGATCCGAAGCGACACGGAATTGGAAAGAGGAACTCGCTCTTATCGAAAGCGCTTTCTATTCGCCCCATACGAGGGTAATCGATCACGGTTATCCGTGGAATCTATAAACGCTATAAAGGATCGCGTTTACCGACGAACCGTTTAATTTATCCCCGGCGCTTGATAAATTGCGATCGTTAGAGTTGTTACGATTCTAAATCCAACAAAAAGAAGAGCATCGGATAACGCGGTGTAATTTATCCCGGTTAAATTGCAGCTATCTTTTTTCTTGGAAAAGCGGCGTTGAAAAAAGTGGCGACCACCGAGTCGACAAAGACTGGCGTTTCGAAACGGAATTCGGTGGTCCGACCAAACACGCCGGACGATTGGAACGTTAATAGGTTTGCGGTAACAACGAGGTTGCGATATCGTCGCGAACCATGCACGATGTTCTACACGAGTCCGAGCTAATGGGATATCATCGACGACCGAACAAGCCTATCGCGAAAGCCCGCGGAGAGCGACGGAAACGTTCTCTGCAAAATACGTTTCGATTCGACGAGAAATTTCAAATGTAGGCCAGCACGAAATTTCGACGTTGCCTTTCTTGCGGCCGACGAGTGGTTTCGACCGACGAGAACTTTTCGAGGACTTTAATTCAGTTCCCGTGTATTGTCCAAACTTCTGATCGATTCCATGAAGGAGCCAGCAAAGCACACACGCTTTAATATACTAATTGAGTAGGTATCGGCAAGTTTCGACGAGGCTGATTCGAACGCGCTTTAGAAGTCATAAGTTTGGACACGATACGTCGGAATTCGAGTTCGACGTGTTCAACCGTGGGATCAGCGTGTTTAGCGTTAATTTAGATCGCTGTCGGCTAAAGAACTCGAAAGTTCTGTACGGTAACTATATCGTCAAACGTCACGACCCTACTTTGAAAGCGTATTCAACGCTAATTTCTTCATCGTAATTATCGTTTCACGCGCGTTAAACGATTTTCGATCGAAACGCGACACGGTTAAAGGATTAAAAGACCAAAATTATGTCGTCGATTCTGCTAATTGTCAATCATTTCGCAGCGTTGCTCGCTCGAACGTTTAAACGATTTACCAATTTTTTCGTCGACCTGCAATCCGCCGTGCCTATATTTACCAGCAGAAAAGTGTCATAAAGAGCAAAGTCTAGTTCGGTAGAGAGAGAGGAAGAGAGAGAGATTGAAAGAGAGAGAGAGGGAGAGCGGTTGGTCGTACAGAGGGGTTTGTGATTTCGTGGCCAGACCAGGGACTGGAAACAGGGGCGAGCTTTCATCCGTGACCTGGGAGAATGTTTACCGCTACTTGATCAAAGGGGTTTCGATCCTCGAGCCATCGACGTTGTAGATGTAGCCTGGCCTCCGGTTGTTCTCGGTTTTTGTCTCGTTCACACCCTTCCGACGTCATCGTGGCCGTCGGCGTCGGCGTTCGTCGTCGTCGTAACACATGTCAGGGCCGATAAACCTTGCACCGTCGTCGCGTATCGAACCTACACCACCGAACGAACCGCTCTTTTACATCGAAAACGAGATCCCGACCGATGTTTGTTCTTGACTTTCAATATTCTGCTCCTGTAACGCGTTTCCTCTGGCTTATCGTTGAATTTTCCACGCTCGAGTGTCGATACACCGTCGACAAATTGACAGCGGGGGATAACAAAGAACACGGAAAATGTTCCTTGTTGGAGAGTATATAAGATATCCTATTGGTGAAAAGTCCTAGCTTACGTAAGCTCCGACGCGCCGGAAGGGATAAAATACTCGGTGACCAGAGACGACGACGAACCATCGAAATTTTTATCCGTTCTGGCAGGCGACGAGCTCGTAAAAATGTCCCGTTACTCGACGTGGCAAACGCGAATCCGGCAATTAAGAGATTGCACAGCGGACGCTTCTCTTCTTACGCGAATATCTCTCGTGTGTTTCAGATCACCGCGAGCACGATGTTCGTCTAGAGCCAACCAACGGAATCTCCTCGAAGAGCTAAGGTCGATCGGGCTAGCCTGGCCGATAGATGTCGTAGGATCGTGTCTACGAGCGCGCGGTCGTTCGTCCAGGAAGATGAGAGTCCGGAAGGGAATCGGCCGGAAGAAACGCGGCGTCGACGGATCGGCGACCTGACGAGAAGCTGGCAACGATCGAAGGGGAGCGGAGCTTCGTAGGTGGAAAAAATGAACGAAAGCGCGGTCTATCTGCTCGGATCGGAAGAAGAGGCAATCGTACCGAGCAATCATTTGAACAGAAGCTTCTACAACGCCGGTTATCCGCCGCAGAATCGCACTTACGAGGATCTGTGGCACTTGGCGACGGACAGGGCCGGTCTAGCGATACTCTTGTTCCTGTTCTCGGTGGCCACCGTGTTCGGTAACATGCTGGTGATCCTGGCCGTGGTCAGGGAGAGATATCTTCACACGGCGACCAATTACTTCGTCACGTCCTTGGCGTTCGCCGATTGTCTCGTCGGATTGGTGGTGATGCCGTTCAGCGCTATCTACGAGGTGCTCGAAAATCGTTGGCTCTTCACGACCGACTGGTGCGACGTTTGGCGGTCGTTGGACGTCCTCTTCTCGACCGCCTCGATCCTTAATCTCTGCGTGATCAGCCTGGATCGTTACTGGGCGATCACCGATCCGTTCACCTACCCGAGCAGAATGAGCCGAAGAAGAGCGGCGATATTGATCGCGATCGTCTGGATCTGTTCGAGCGCCATCTCGTTTCCGGCGATCGCCTGGTGGCGAGCGGTGAGGACCGAGGAGGTGCCCGAGGACAAGTGTCCGTTCACCGAACACCTCGGCTACTTGATCTTCTCGTCGACCATCAGCTTCTATTTGCCGCTGTTCGTGATGGTGTTCACCTACTACAAGATCTACAGAGCCGCCGTGATCCAGACCAAGAGCCTGAAGCTGGGCACCAAGCAGGTGATAATGGCGTCCGGTGAATTGGAGCTGACTCTGAGGATACATCGAGGAGGCGGGACGAACACGGACGCCAGGCATCTGTTCCGTACCGCCTCGAGCACACCGGAAGATCTGCAAGATCTCGAGGAACCTCTGACGGCCATGCACAACAATTGTCTGACCAGGGTGCCGTCCACCAGAATCAATAAACAACACCTAGGGAAGAACTTCTCGTTGTCGCGAAAACTCGCGAAATTCGCGAAGGAGAAGAAGGCCGCGAAGACGCTGGGCATCGTGATGGGAGTGTTCATCATATGTTGGCTACCGTTCTTCGTGGTGAACCTGTGGTCGGGTTTCTGCTCGCAGTGCATATGGCAAGAGGAGATCGTGTTCGCCGCCGTTACGTGGCTCGGCTGGATCAACAGCGGAATGAACCCGGTCATATACGCTTGTTGGAGCAGAGACTTTCGAAGGTGAGTTTCGTTGCCTCTGTTCGTGCATCAAATTTGAAATTTCGCTTTCATAGAGACTCTCGAAAGATTCGCGTATCGAAGTTCGTCCGAGTCGACTCGGAAACACGTGTACTCTATAGCTAAAAACCCGATTCGAAACACGCAAGGATGTACCAATAGAATCGTGGATAGTAATTGTCGGAACACGGTATAACTGTACGGTCTCTGGGGTGCCATTAAATCGTTCTCAGGCGAAACGGAGTAATCTTGGACAAACGAGCTTCTGGCAGCGAAGGATTAATTCTCCGAAACAAGCCCGCGACCACCTCGATATCCCCGCTAAAATTATTCGAAAGCTCCATTCGAACAATTCGCAATCGGTGGAGTCGAGTCCCGACAATTCACCGCTTTCCGCGTGATTTAACGACCGACATTTTTCCGTTTCATCTTGGATGGCCGAGCGAGGCCTCCGTTTCGGTTTGGACGCGTTCAAGCTGCAACGACAAATCACCGACGTAACTTCCGGTATGTTGGTCGTTCGTGTTTCGCGAACGGATGCACTGAATAATTGGTGACAAAGTTGCACGGGAAAGCGGAAGGTATGCAAATAACGCGATTTAATTACGCGTCGCTGCACACGTTCGCCGAGAGCAGCCGGAAAATGGAACGCGAAAACTTTGAAAGAATCTATGATGTTCTAACGAGTTTCCGTCTACCTTTTTAAACCTTGTCCCGTCGAGATGACGAGCATGAGTGGCGGTACGCGAGTTAGAAGTTACGTTCATAAAGCAAACTCGTAATCCTGATTTTGATGCGCATTTAACAAAATAATGTACAGGGTGTGTAAACGGAAGATTAGCGAGGCTGGGAACCGCGCGAAATATTTGTCGAATAACTCTCTCGTTCGTCGAGACAGGGCCCCGTTGTAGGATCACGTTTTACGCGGTTTTAGTATTTCATCCGAATAAGAGTGTGGGCGACGGGTTTGTTAGGCAACGCAACCAACCGGTAGCTTCGAAAACCAAACGGGGTTTTTTCTGCTCTCCTTTTTCACGGAACAACCGCCATACGTGCATATCGCTAGATCGATCTCTCTCGTTTCATCAATCTCTTTTCCAGCTCTCCGCGGCAACGGGACACCCTCGAGAACTGATTTTTCAAAAAGTCGTTTCGTCCGAAAGCGGCTGGCCAACAGCAGCCCTAGACACTCTGCTCGGGACCGTGCTTCGCGTAATTATGGTCGGTGAAAAATGACGACAACGCTCAGCGATAAATAACGACGATACCTGCGACGAGAAAAACGGCCAGGGTGTAAAAGAAACGCGGAGGAAAAACGGGTTAAAGCGAAACGAAGAGAGAAAGGCAAAGAGGGACGCGGAATTCCCTGGCAAAAACGTTAACTCGATGGATCGTACATAGCTTTATTTGTAAAGAAAAAGTAAAAGCGCTTTCGCGACTAGTCGTTAACAAACGTTTCCTCCTGTTTTTTCACTTAAACGTTTCTTAACTCGCTGACTGGTCACCGCGCGAAGACACTTTGCTCCGCTTTTCTCGTCGTCTAACTTTCTGAGTTCGCCGAAGCGACTTGTGAATTTTGATTGTCGGTAAACCATTTAATTTCTACCGAACCTAGTGCATTGTTAGAAATGGAGAAAGATACGAGCGCAATCGTCGTTCAAAGTTTATCTCGGATGCTCGATGAGCCACGTTTCGTGCTTTAAATTTCACGGCGATCGTGACTTCGTATTTCGTAGCAATGTACGATAAACGTATTTCGGAGAGAGAAAAGTCAGCGTAAAACGCTTGGATAATTTTCCCTGTCATTGGCGTCCGGATGTTGTTTTCGCGTAATTGCGTTGCCGGAGTATCCTCCGGAATCGAGTTTTCTTACCAACAAACTGGAGTGTATTCCGTGAAAAGTTCCGTAGATATCTATGCGAAGAATAGGCAGTAAATAAAATTTGTGGCGGCGAAGGGTGCACGGTGGTGGTGAAGGAAAGGCGGAGAAGGCGGAAGATCGGAGAGCGTCCGATAAAAAACAAAAGAACATATCTTCGATAAAACGCGAAGGAATGTTTATACGGGATCGAGACGAGGTTTACGAGTTAACCGCGTCCCGGATGTTATGGCTGTTGAGACAAGTTTCGGAGACGTAAAATCTTCGGTACAATTTACGCGAAACGTTGATTCTTCTCTGGGAAACAGTTTTTCTCGTAAGGCGGTCGAAAATTGCGAATAATTTGAAAGACTATCAAAAAGAATAGTTTAGAGCCTAGACTCTCGAAGCGAGCGGCGAAACGGCAGAGAGTAAATTCGGAGGGTTCTGTTCAATGACGCAAGAAGTCGATTTATTCGCGCGATCTTGCAATACGTTAACGAACGAGTCGATACTCGATAGGATGGAGGATGTTGATTAACGGGAACAAGGCAATTAAGAGCCCTCGAAACGCCAGGAATGAGTTAGTGTCCCTTGCGCGATACCAGCGGGCCGAGATAAAGCATTTCCGCAAACACAACGATATTAAACGTTCGAAAATTATGTTTCCCCGCGAATGGAACCCCGTAAGCTCCGCCATGGAATCCCGTAAAGATCCTTTATTTAATTCCAAATGAAATTTCGTGGATCGCTGTGACGTTAATGCGATTTCAGGAGGAGAAATTTTCGTGACAATTAAACGACTCGCTTTCGAACCGTCGCAAATTCGGTAAAAGTACAATCGAATAATGAAACGGACAGTCACGAGGGTTGAAAGTTTTTTTCAGAGAATACTGCTGAAACGAGAAGATGGTCTAATTAGATTTCAAACAGTACAAAGTCTATTCTCTACCGGTCTCTTTTGTGTGGCTCGGCCGGGGTCCTTTTTCCTTCCTTCTTTTTTTATGAAACGCGCTGCATCCCTTGTTTCCCGCGAGCATTCTTTACAGGGGTAACAAGAGTTCTTTTAAAACCGACTGAAAAACCATACACTTTCGACCAAAGAAGCCTCTACGTGCAATTCACACTTGTCCACGGATTGGACGTCTTTCGATCTTCCTCTCCAACAGCAACATCGTTATTTCCGGTTAGGAAGAATAATTGTATCGATTCTTCAAGAGTCTGCATCCAGCGTGTTCAATTTTTAGAACGTTCGGTTTGTCGATACAAACAAGGTATCGCATTGAAATTAATCAAATGATCGTAAGCACTTATAAATGCATTGGGGAAAATTTCATTAACCTATTAACAAAAATAGCTGGCGAGTGCGGAAGGTTAAATCGATGCCATAAATAGGTTAGATTGGTTGTTGCAATTGATATCGCAGCAGGTGTATCCCGAATTGCAAAGTTCGAACGTGGCTAGATATCGATTCCGTGCCTCGTTTCGTAATTCTGGCCGAATAAATCGAGCTACTTACTAGTTCTTTTTTTCCGCGCTCTCGTCGCGACGGAATTCTTTCGCGAGGAACACCGGCTATAATTGCAGGCGGACGATAATAAATTCAAGACTCAGCCAGTCACGCGAAGAATTCTGCATTAAGTCAAGGTTTCGACGCGAAGCGGTTGATCAAACCGGGTGCACCGTTTCGAAATTGCTTCTCTCGTTGTTTTCGAATCACGGCGCAATCGGGAATTTTTCAGGATTTTAATGGTCTTCGCAGAGTTAATTTCCCACTTCGTTCTTAAAATGTACCGCGAGCAAAATAATAATTTGGAAATATTATGTAGGAACAGGTAGGTTGAAAAATATAAAAGCGCGGAACGGTTAAAATTCGACGAAAGACTGTTCGCATCTCGGGTGAAACGCGCGTTCGAAGAAACGGCCGTTCGTGAGCAAGAACGCTCGCATTTCCATTCGTTTTGCATGTCTGTGCGCGTTATGTACCGTGCTAGATCGCGTAAATCATCTCGCACGCGAAAACACCGGGAAAAGGTGAATCGCTGCGCGAAACAAACGACGAAATAACGAACGTTAAATTACTTTCCTCCGAACGAGCGCGATTTAAAGATGCGCGCTTCGAGCACGAACTGCATCGCTTCGAAAGAATCGTTTCTTCGTTGAGTATTATGTCGGAAATTTGATCTATCCATCTTTCGTGAAATACGCGAGAATTCGACGTCGACTATAACCGTATTTCTTCGGCGAACAACCAGGCGTTTCGTGTAAAACGTTTCGAATCAGGAGTGAAAATGAATAACTGTCTTGAACGAAAAGTTCGACACGAAATTTATACAAGGCTATGCGTTTCTGCGGTTCGGTCGAAAAGTTTCAATTGGCGATGAAAATCGGCAAAAATAAAAGATGGCCGAGACGCGACAAAAAACCAGCAAGAGGGGTGTGTATAATTCTGAAGCGGAAGGGAAACAGAGAAAAATACCCGGGGGATTGTTGGATCGACTTTAAACGGGGATTCACAGGGAACCCTTGTTCCAGAAAGCAGATACGAAGATAACTACGACCCAATACGTGTGCCTGTACGCCTCTATACTGGCATATAAATGGTTGCGGAGATAGAGAAAAGAGAATCGTAACCGTGAGGTTGTGGACGGATAGAAACGAAGCTCTTTAGTAAATTACTTTTATTCATTCTCGTGAAATGAGCTCGAGCGGCCGTAGTTCGAAGAAACCTACGAAGAAGCTGTTCCAGCGGAGCTTCTTTTCTCGTTTACCGCCAAGACACTCGAGCAGCTAAGAAAAATTCGTCGGTTTTAAATACGTTCCTGCTTTAACGCCGAGACTTTATCTCGAATTTTCCGCAGCGTCTGCGTTTCTGACAGGTATTACAGCATCTTCGCGCGCGCAAGTAACAATATTCGACGAAGCGAGCCGTGCAATCGGGTGCGAACTACGATGACTCGATCCGAGTATTCTTTCCCCCGAAATGAACTCTGCAAGCGCGCAACGCGGAACTAAAGGGACAAAGATTTAACAGCGTTGTTGGTCGACAAAGGTTAATCGCGATCGGAGGGAAGGGTAGATCTTGCCGCTTTATCATCGCGAACGAAGGCGCGAAATGGTCCGAGGATTCTCTGACCTAGAAAAA